CCCCCCCCAAGTCACCTGTTAGGTTTGTCACTGGTGATGAGCTACAGCTATTTCACGCTGGTGTAGTGTTGACAGAAACACCTGTTGTTACACGTGACATTTCTAGGCCTTCCAGTGCCTCACTGCTGCACCTCAAAGGCAGCGCTGAACCTACAGGTAACAGTGAGACACCCCCCCCCCCCCCCCCTCAGGCAGCCCCCTGGAGGACTAACACCTCTGCAGTTTTAACAGGGAGGAGGCAGGGTGGGGGGGCAGGACCTGTGCGGAACTAACGTGCTTCCCCATCTCCTTGTCATCGCAGCTGTCACCAGGCCGTACTACGACTTTCTGATGCGTCAGAAGCATCCCACCCTGCCTACCACTCTCCCTCAGCAGCAAGTCTTCATGCTGGCAGAGCCCAAGCGCAAGCCCTCGAACTTCTGGCAGAACATCAGCAGGCTGACCCCCTTCCGGAAATAAGGGCAGCCCCCATGTTTGTGCCTGAATCCCTTCTGAGAAAGCACTTTATCCGTCAGTCCCGGGAGATGGAGCCCAGATTCTTCCACTCCTTTGGTTGCAGAGGACAGCCCACGTGCTCCTTCCTTCCCTATTTATTTTGCAGAGCGACTGAACACGCTGGCTCTGAGGTGGGACACTGTGTAGGTGGGCACATGCACGTGTGTGTGCGTGTATGCACGCCAGTCCCATCAAGCCAGCCTTGCACCGCGCCCGAGAGGCAAACTTCCAGGAAGAGATCACAGGAGCCTGAAGTGTTTCATCTGCAACGATTTTTGCTTGCCAGTTGTGTTTTGAATCATTCCTTCCAGCTGTGCCCATTATTGCTGTCTGGCAGCTGCCAGAGAGGGGAGGGCAGCTGATACAGCTCCCGGTTCAGTGTCCACTGCCGTGTTCGGAACAACGGTTCGGTGTTGCTCACCTTATACACCTTGGAGGGGGAGGCGTAAGGACAGACCCTTCTGTTCTCCTCCCCCCCACCCCCTTTCCCTGCGTTTCTCATCAAGGACATGATCCTACACTCCTAACCCCTCAGCTAGCCTCTGCTGGCACTCAGCCACCCGTTGAGTGTCTGACCCTGGGACCCTTTTCTTTCCTTTAGTTCAACACACTGATGAACTAAATTAGTATGTTACTGGTGCCAATCAACCTACAGCATGAGTAAAGTTCAAAAAAAAAAAAAAACACACCTCTCTAGGGAGTTTTGAGTTATGTAAGTTAGAGAAAAAATGTGCCTAAATTAATACCATACTCGATTCCTTAGATTCTCGTCTGTCCATCATTCTGCCGTATTTCCTGGCCAATGAAAATGCTCATTGTTTGTAACGTGTTTATTTATGGTAAAAAAACCAGAACTGTGTATTTTGTAAGTCTGTAATTGGTCTTGTCAGATGTTGTTAACTTGATGCCTGTTTTGTCTGTTTTTCTTTTTTTTTTTCTTTTCCTTTCTTTTTTTTTTTTTTAAAGCAAAAAGCTCAGTCAATATTTGCAAACCTAGCTCCCAGAAGTCAGGGTCTGCAGTTCAGCTCTGAAATACTAACAGCGTGACCTTTATGCCAATTCCTGCAGCCCCCTCAGTTCAAGGGGTATTATTACAGGTTTTTGACACTTTTAAAATAAACTTCAGGCCACTTACAAAAACGCTGAAATCTGGCATAAAGAGCGAGCCTCAGTTTTAGGTACCCAGGTTTCAAACCTGTGGCCAAAAGACTTCATTTAACTCTTGGTTAGCAAAAGGAAAGATTTGCCTTACCACAGTGAGGGTTAGAAGCCATACTGACTGAATTCCCGAGCTTAGGAGACGTCCTGTGGCAGTGGAAGGAAGCCACCCACTCGCTCCGACATGACGCCACTGGGAGCGAGCACTAACTGCCTGCAATGCTCAACGATCCAGTGTTTGTTGATGCTGTAGCTGACCAAAGTCTGGTCATCCAGGGATAGCTGAATTCAGTAGCATGTACAAAGTCATTCTTGCACTATATCTCCCCCCGGATCAGGGGCTACATTTAATTTCATAAAGAAACTTGTAAAAGTGACTCTCAGCCTGTGTTTGTGTCTGACCTGTCTGTCTGTGTAAGCTGTTGTTTCTCCTCAACGTCACAGCAGAGTTTTGCTCTTGCAGCTTCGAGAGAAACTAATGAGTGGAGGCCGTGCTAGAAGGTTACGTGCTCAGCACAGCCCTCCTTCGGATGGCAGCTGCTCAGCGCAGACAAGGCCCTGGAGATGTGCCTGTTGCTCAAAACCTTGGTCATGGCTCGCATGACACTGACAGCCAACTCCCAAATTCGTCCTAGTACTGAAACCTGTCAGCAGTCTTATGCAACACTAATTTGGTTGCTATTAAAACTGAAAAAGGTTTTTTTTGGGGGGGGGGGGAATGGGGTACCTATGGTGGCTACTTAAATGGCAAGGCTATCTAGAAAAGCGGAAACAAGCTACAGGGGGAGCTTGAGTCCAATTTGAGCAGTATGAAATGAAAGCGAACAAGCCAATGCCAGGAAGGAAGACAAATCCTTGACTGACAAACCAGCCCCTCCAGGGGCCTGCTCACCTGCACAGCCTACCGTGGGGCCGTGGGGAATGGCACAGCTACATGGTTGTGTTTTTTTTTTTTTTTTCCCCCCCTTCCCCTCCTAGGCAGGGGAAATGGATGGACCATCGCCAACCCGGGCCCTCTCTAGAGAAGCACAGGAGATGCCTGCCTGTGGGACACTTGCCCCCCCCCCCAACCTGCCCCCAAGCAGCAGAGGAAAAGAGGGCTTACCAAACCTGAAGCAGAGTCTTCTGGGTGCTGCCCAGCAGTGGCGCCAATCAGCGCAGTCGGTCACATGTCTGCTCTATAATAGTTTTCGTTTCCAAATGCATCTGTAATTGCATGCAGCAGTTGGCAAGCCACCGTGGGCTGCTTACAGGCATGTCCTTCACCTGCTGCAAAACCAAGAGGGGGTTTTCCCTACCAAACAGAACTTGCATTGGCACATTGCTTCAATAGTTTGAGCCTTACAGTGCTGCGAGTCACCCAGCCTCACCTCTTGCCCTTTCAAACCACAGACCCTAAATGAGCCCTACCTAAGGCACCCCCCCATCCAATACCACCTGTAGCAGCAGCTGCCTACCTTTACAAGTCCACAGGTCAGTCTTGCACAGTTGGGTCTCAACCTGAAATAAGCTGTAGTGATTTTGCTCACGAGAGCCCCCAT